CAGCCAAGCCCTCTTGGCCAAGTTTACATTCAGAAAAGAGGGAGATTTGAGGGTCGTAGGTGAAAAGAAGGTGCCAAAACCCAGGGAAGGGATAGCAGTGGTATAGGAAAGTTCCCACTCTACCTGTGGTACTTATGTGGCCCCCTCACCATGGTATCTGAGTGCCTCACAATGTCTAACTTATTTCTCCTCACAGCCCCTATGTGAGGTAAAGCAGTGATGTAAACCCCATTGTACAGATTGGGCATTGAGGCACAGGGAGACTAAAGACCAGATTTTCAAAAGTATTTAGGCACCTAGTTTGATTTTCAGAAGTGGCTACGTTAGACACTTTGTAAACCCCACTAGATGCCTAGCTGCATCTTTGGGTGCCTAAAATCTTTTGAAACTCTGTTCCTAAGGTACTGACCTGAGGTCATACAAGAAGTCCCTGGGGAGAGTATAACCCAGGTCTCTCAGGGCTAGCTCCCTATCCACTCGACCAGCCTATCTCTCTGCTGCATGCTGCAAAAAAGAGGACTGCGATAGATGGGAGCAAAACCAAGAAGGCCAGTTCTCTGAGACGCCAGCAATCGGTCCCAGCTGATTGGGAAGGATGTCATGTTTGACAGCATGAAAAGCAGTACAGAGGTCAGGATGGATAAAGAAAGAAAGAGAATGAGAGTCAGATGAGAGGAGATCACTTAATCCCGAGGGGGTGGCAGGTTCTGCCCCATGCTAGGTTGTAGAGCAATGCCTACGTGCAGTTTTAGATTTTAACTGAAAACCATTTTGTTTTGTCATTTTTTGTTCTGAGTTCAAGAAAAGGAAGGAATGAGAAAAAGTGTCATATGAGTATCAGATGTGTTTATGGCTCAAATTCTTAGGGGTTCACCTGTACCCTGGCCAATTCCAGAACAAAGAACAGAAATTGCATCCACAGAGTCCATAAAGTAGACTATTATTTTCATGATTTGTATTATTTGCTGTGCAGCATCCGTATACTCAGCACTGTTCAGAATATACAAGCAATATAGTCTCTGAGCCAATATGTATAAGATGTGTAGCCCTGGATTAGATGGCTCAGATATTTAAGTATGAAGTGTATAGTTACTGAGCACATCTTATCACATGTTCACTGCGATGTTAATGTCTATGAGTGGGGGCGCTGATGGCAATAGAAGTTTTACTTGATTAAGGACTAGAAGATTTGACCCTCCAACTTTCTTTCAAGAGGAAGAGATGCCCAGAGCTCCTGAGCCTATTTATTTTTCTTTCCTGCCTGCAGTGGCCCTGATATACCTGAGAAGTCTCCATTTTTTTTTTCAACTTTAAAATGTGGAATTTTCTTGGTGCTTGGTTTTAAATACCGTGTTTCCCCGAAAATAAGACAGTGTCTTATATTAATTTTTGCTCCCAAAGATGCGCTAGGTCTTATTTTCAGGGGAGGTCTTATTTTTCCTGGAGCTTCGGGGCCTTATATTCCGGGGTGGCCTTATTATCGGGGAGGTCTTATTTTCGGGGGATGTCTTATATTACAGCGAGAGGCAAAACTGGAAGTAGGTCTTATTTTCGGGGAAACAGGGTATTCTCCTGTGAAAACTGCAACTCAATCACCATAGTGTTGTGTTTAAGAGCCTGCTGGAAAGTAACTAGCCTTTAAACAGAAGTGAAAGCAGTGTTGCCAACTCTCATGATTTTGTCATGAGTCTCATGATCATTATTGTTTTCCTTAAAGCCCCAGCTCTTGGAGTCAAGTGGATATGTGATGATTTCAGCCTTCATTCTTAAAGAAAAATGAAGTTTCTAACCCTCGTGGCTGTGGAGAAAGCTTCAAAATTTGACCCCAGTGTAACCTCAAGGTTCAAAAAGCAGAAGGCAAATACAAAGAACACCAAACCTATTATTTTTACATAATTTCATAATTTTAAAGTCAATCTCATGATTTTTGGTGAGCCTGTTTTATGATTTTTGAATATTTAGGGTTGGCAATACTGTCAGAAAGTGACTGGAAAGTGTCAGTTTCACTCCTGTTTAAAGTCAGTTTCTAGACTATTATTTGTAGGGGGGTAACATTCCTAGAGCCCAAGGCAGGTTCAGTATAAACTCACAGGGCCTGGCCCGAGTAGGATATCTCCAAAAGTTAAATGATCTATTCCAAGCTTGGTGAACTGAAAAAAAGTGATAGAAAGTAATCTAGATTTTTCTAAAATTGTTTCAATTGTTGTGTTCAAGATTTAGTAACAAAGTAAGAACATACATTAAAATTTTAAACCTAACCAGTGTACCTTAAGTGACCTGACACAAGATGTCAGAACATGTTAGTATTAGAGCTAAGTGGGGCTAATATTTATTTAATTTTCTTTTGTTTTATAGGAATTAGATACAGTACTCCTGTCAGCTAATTTCTAAGTTATCTGCATACAAAAAAACTAGTTTTCAGGTGCCTAAGTAGCCCCTGGAATCACAGTTAAAGTTGCCTCCCTCCCACCAAAATCTGAAATGGCACCCCTGGCTGTAACTTCCTGCTTTCTTTGCTAACAAGATCTGTTCTACGCTGTGTTCCCGATGACTAATAAACCCTTCTGTTTTACAATGGTGGCTGAGAGTCACTGCTGACTGCAAAGTTGGGGTGCACGGCCCCTTTGGGGGGCATATAAGGCTTCCCCATGTGTCCCATTCAGGTGGACTCCCTGCAGGAAGCTCACGGTGTGAACAGGGGTGCTGAACACTCCGAGGTCAGACCCAGGAGGTGTTGAAGCGGAGGAGGCTTGCCCAAGTGAGAGTGCGCCCAGACGGGAAACACACTGCACTACAGTCCTGTCTGACTTCATTTAGAGCGGTTCCAGAGCACTGAGTCTGTGATTCCATGACAACAACAGATTGAAACAATTATGTATGTGGATGTATAAGAAACACCTCGTCTCCAATATATGTTTGCAAGACCAGTTCAATACAAAGTCTCTATATAAAGTATAATTCTATAATATATAGTCAATACAAAGTCTCTGTATAAAGTATAATTATATATATAGTCAGTAATATAAAGTCTCTAAATACATATTTCCTCCATATACCACAACCCTCTCAGAGAAAGCCCCTTAAATATATAATTGCAAAACTGTATATGTATAATTAGGACTAAAATCATAGGAATATTACTGTAAAAATATCCTACAGGAAATTAGATGCAAAACTACATTTAAGAGGTATGAGCAAATGCACACATTTTCTGTGTATATTCTATGTAAGGGTTATTTCTTTTTGCTTACTTTCACCAGACTTAGCGTTTTAGTTGTTTAATAATAAGGTTAACTTGAAATTCAACCCAAGTTTCTCTATGAGTGCCTTGCTTAAAAGCAAGTCAACTTGTCATGAATTTTTTTTTTATACTACAGTTTTCCAGCAAGTAATCCCTGTTCTTGAACAGTGATGAGGACAGTAATGGAGAATATAATTTTCTCCATCAAGATAAACTACAGAACAGAATAAGAAAAACAACATGAGTCATCAGGAGTCCTACACTGGTTAGCATGTTCTAGAAGGTTTGGAATCAGAGGACTGAACTTAATTTCAGGATAGTTAGGCAAGAACCCCTCCTACACATACTGTAAGACTCATTAGCTGGCAAATTGCCTATTTTTTCTGCACTGGTTACCAATTCACTTTCCGGTGAAATTCAAGTTGCTAGGTTACTATCTGTAAAGCCTTTCATGATGCAGATCCCATTGCAGCTATCTCTGGAACTTTCACTTTTAGAATTAACTTCCACTAGAACAGTCTAAACCCAAGTCTAGGCCTTTTGGAATATACTGTAAAATGTAAATCTTTGTTGAGATTACCCTTGTAAAACCAGTCCTGGAATCCACTGACATTTAGTCTATCAGATGAGTTTTCCCATCTTCGACTCCTTCAGAGAAATTAGCTTGCATCTTTAAGGGTTTGTGACATATACATCCCCAAATTTAGGAAAAGTTTGTTTTGTACCCCATGTAAATAGCATTCACAGTCTACGATAGCAGGTGCATGTAAACAGATGCAATCCCCCATCTCTGTTTTAATGCAGTACAACACAATGCGTTACAGTTCAAACTCACCCCCTTCTTGGTGTTTACCTTCATTAATTAACATATGTTCCCCAGGGCAGGACTGGTCTTACAAATCTAAACCTTATCCTGGGTCTACTCTTCAGCTACTAAGGTTTCTCCATGAAGGACCTCACATACATTGTCCTACCTTTCTCACCTCAGAGAGACTGTCATACTTTCAGTGCATCAGAATAAATCAGACCTACCTGGTCTAGCTACCAGGATGAGTCAACAGAATCACTCTGTACTACTCCACATAGTATCCTATACTCTGCCACCTGCCATAGGGTATTGTACATGGATGTAAATAATAATTATACAACCAGTTTATATCAGATTTATCTTTGTGATCTACTGCTATTACAGAATAGTATGACCCCTTACATATTATCAGTGAACTTATTTGCATAAATACAGTTATCGTGCAACAAGTAAAATAAGTTTTCACATGTCACAAAGATAAATGTGAAGTTGACCAGATAAGGTGACAAAAGTTAAGAGAAGGAATTCCCTTCCTCTGAAGAAGGGCCGTATTAAAACTGAAATATTTGGTATAGCAAACAAAGCCATTAAGAGTGTAGTGCAGAACAAAACTATATTTCTTTTTAATTAGTTCACTTTTTCTAGTAATTTAGTAACTGATTTTTGGAGGAAGCTGATTGTTCAATTATGTTACATTACTTCCCGTTTTTAAATCTCTTTATATTTGATAAACATTTTATCTGATGTAGTGAATTTTATGAGCAAACTGTTTTGGAAAACTATTTTTAAGAAACATTTTTAATACTGACCAAGAAGTGCAAAAAAATTCAAAGTTAAAACTCCATTTTTAAATCGTTGCTAATGAACAAACAAAAGAGATTCACAGGTGTTGATGTTTTTACTTACACAAAAGCATTAAAGTCAACAATCTGTACAGAATTTTAAACTTACTCTTGCATTAATGGTAGTATAGTCCATGCACCATCATGTCTGTCCATCTGATGAATAAGCAGAACTCTAGGTAATTCCTTTAAAAAAACCAAAAATATTCTTATGAGACAACAAAGTATTTTACAACACAGTATATTCTTAGATGCCTAATTAATTTTAAAACTAAATTCTTGTGGAAAGACTATTTCACTCTTATTTTCACAGAACTGAGTAGCAAACAGGCTTGTAGACTAAAAGAGACTAGGGATGTAGCAAAAGGATATAAGTCAGACTCTTGAAGAGAGGGAGCTTCTTGCAATTTTTTGTTTCTAAACCCTCTCTTAGGTATAAAACTAATGCACCTCCCACTTCAGTGAAACTTTATAAATATTCTGGATGATCTCTCTGGTTATACCACTTCTGGAACAATGAAAAGTTCATCTTATAAAGATAGTGTTTATAATTGAAAGTGGAGTATGCAAACTCTTCTAATGAATTATACATAAATTATGTTAACCAGAAATACTTATTTAATTCCATAGAGCTAATTTATCATCTAATAAAGAACTGTAACATAAAGCCCACTATTCTTGATGACACCATTGGTTTTGTTCCAATTCCATGGTATTGTTAGGAGTAGCTACTACAAGTATGCAGTGTCCCCAAATTTCCAGTCAGACTCAAATCAACAATCCAGTGTATTTTACTGGACATTATAAGTTTTACTAAAATTTCAATCAACATTTGGCTGTTTACTGTTAGTGTGATTCAAGAAACACCATTGCACATTATCAGAACACATTTTATGAATATAATAACAAAATGATCTTCTAATGGTTCTAGGTAAGAAAGCAAAAGGATGAAAGGGCTGGATTAATACACACTATGGATATAATCAGGAGTTACATACAAAATTGATAGCTCCTCTCTTTTGGGAAGCACCAATGGGATGAAGCGCAGAAAAAGCACTCTCCCTCTCCTCAAATCGGAGGCTCCTCCATTCATGGAAATGGAGGGAACAATCTGATCCTTAGCACAATATATTTTCCTGTACACATATTATTAATTATTATTATTATTATCATCATCCCCTTCCCTTAGGTTTAGTCTACATTCTGCTCTTGTAAGCTCTCTCTTTCTGGTGCTGTCTTTCCCCTTCTTTCCCAACTCTCTCTAAAACCAGAAAATGTTAGGGTCCCCATCTTCCTTTTTATCCATCTCCAGAGATGCACCAACTCTATTCTTCTCCTATTACTCAAACAGTGGTCTACAGGATCTCTTCTGTCATAGCACATGTTTCTCCAACATGACAGAGGTTGTCTATGCGGCTCCTACTTCCCCATTTCACATCTCTCTACCAAAAACCATGCTAAATTATGCTAGGGTTGCCAACTTTCTAATCGCACAAAACCGAACACCTTTGCCCCACCCCCTGCCCTGAGGCCCTGCCCCTTCTCCGAGGCCCCACCCCCCGCTCACTCCATTCTCCCTCCCTCTGTCACTTGCTCTCCCCCATCCTCACTCATTTTCACTGGGCTGGGGCAGGGGGTTGGGGTGCAGGGCTCTGGCTGGGGGTGCAGGTTCTGGGGTGGGACCAGAAATGAGAGGTTCAGGGTGTGGGAGGGGCTCACACTGGGGGTTGGGGGGTGCAGGCTTTGGGAGGGAGTTTGGGTGTGGGAGGGGCTCAGGGCTGGGGGTTCGGGTGGGGGGTTGGGGTGTGGGCTCCAGCCAGGCAGTGTTTACCTCAGGTGGCTCCAGGAAGCAGCAGGCATGTCCGGCTCCTAGGCGGAGGGGCCAGGGGTCTCCACGCGCTGCCAGCTCCCGCAGGTGCCATCCCTGCAGCTTCCCTTGGCTGTGGTTCCCAGCCAATGGGAGCTGTGGAGCCAGTGCTCGGGACAGAGGCAGAACGCGGAGCCCCCGTGGCCACCCCTACGCCTAGAAGCCAGACATGCCGGCTGCTTCTGGGAGCCGCGCAGAGCCAGGGCAGGCAGGGAGCCTGCCTTAGCCCCACTGCGCCATTGACCGGACTTTTAGAGGCCCAGACAGCAGTGCTGACCGGAGCCACCAGGGTCCCTTTTCAATCAAGCATTCCAGTCAAAAACTGGACGCCTGGCAACTCTAAATTATGCTGATTTCTTTGCCTGACTTACTCACTTTGCCTACTTTACACAGCAGTGCGAAAGGTAGAAACATGGAAATACATTATGTCAGCTTCCACCTGAGAATAATTGGAAAATCTGGGCAAGCATGAAGAGGAAGGCTGGCTAGTCAAGATGTAGGTGTCCCCAGAGTAATCAAATGTTCTCTGGAGATTGTGTGTCTCTCTCAAACTCACTCCCTACTCACTGAAATTAGTAACCTGAATAAAATACAGCACATGCACAGAGTGCTGTTTTCATTAGTTAATGTTTCTCAACCAGTGTTTTTCACAGTTAGCAAAGCACACATTCCTTACCGAAGATTGTATATGGAACATGCCAAGTCTGAAGTTTTAAATTCAAATAGGTTCTGGGGTTATTCAAGTGCAAATAAATCAGCTAAACAAACATTGTTAATGGCTGAGTAACTATTTCCCCACACTTTGAAAACTCAAAGACGGCTGGGTTATTTTTTAATTACTTTTTTAAAGTCACTTCTGGCTTGGAACGTAACAGAACACACTTCAGCCCAAAATGTGCCAGGCCCTTTAGAAACATACAGGCAGTAGTAGTCCCTGCCCCTAAAATCTTACGATCTACACAGACAAGACAAACAAAAAGCAAACATTTATTAAATGATTAGGTACATGTCTTCAAAGTACTTTATAAACATTAAAGCAATCTTGTAACTAACCAGTAGATAAGCTGTACTAAAATTATTTTACAGGTGTATAAATGAGGCAGAGGGATGCTAAAAGCATTGCTATATTCCACAGTGAAACAGCGGCAGAATTAGAAATAGAACTCAGGGCCATGACTGTTCCTAGCTGTATACACTAAAAATCTTCTTCATCAGTAAGCTAAATATTTGGAGAATGGCTTACCAGATTTCCACATGAAAGTAACTGCTCAGAGTCTAATAAATTTTTTAAACATTTTTATTACTACTGAAGTTTCACAGATTAACTGCTAATCTGAGACAAATATTGGCAGAATGTGGCTATGCAACCTAATTTAACCAAACCTGGTATGCAAATACCTAGATTCACATAGTATTGGATATAGTTTCACAGCTGTACAGTGAAATCTATCAGTATTGTAGAACTACAGCCAATGTGAAAAGAAGCAGTGTAATAACCAAGAAGAGATTAGAACTTTCATAGATCTTAAGACCAGAATGGGCCTCTGTGATCACCCAGTTTGATTTCCTGCATAACACAGCCACAGAAGTTCACCCTTGAATTCTTATGTCTAACCCAACAATTTGTAGTTGAGCTAGGGCATATCTTTTAGAAAGCAACATCAAGACTGGATGTCTATGATATATGTAACACGCCCTGTGTGATTTCTATACGCCATTGTATGTGAATGCCTTGTAATCGTCAGTGAAACATAAAACTCAGTAGTGGATGGTGATATTTGTATTTAAATTTCAAGTAATCTGATCAAAGCGGCAGAAATGCATGCCCAATACCGATTATGACTATGTAGAAATACATAGTAAACACCAGAGAGGGAGAAGAACTAGATAAGATAAAGGACTATGCTGGTACAAGAACAAATTGGTATAAACTGGTCATGAATAAATTTAGGCTGAAAATCAGAAGAGGGTTTCTAACCATCAAAGGAGTGAGGTTCAGGAACAGCCTTCCAGTCAGAATATTAGGGGTGAACAACCTAACTAGCTTTAAGATGGAGCTTGATAAATTCATGAAGATTATATGAAGGGGTTGCCTATGACAGCAGCGGACTGGACTCAATGACCCAGGATGAGTCCTATGTTCCTATGTAGCAATTTATTCAACCCTCTGACACAGGAGAAGTGCAAAATACACCTCTACCTTGATATAATGCTGTCCTCGGGAGCCAAAAAAATCTTACCGCGTTATAGGTGAAACCGCGTTATATGGAACTTGCTTTGATCTGCCGGAGTGCGCAGCCCCACCCCCCCTGGAGCACTGCTTTACCGCATTATATCAGAATTCGTGTTATATCGGGTCGCGTTATATCGGGTAGTGGTGTATCCAAAAGTTTCTCTTGGACTTTCCTTTAAAAAGACATACCATATTGTAGGTCTCTGGAGGATTTCTGACATAGTGAAAAGATAATCCAAGTCTCTGAGCTCTAAACTCATAGAGGGCATCATGCCAGGAATTCTTACTGTCAAATGCTATGAACTGCTTTTTTATACTATAGTGATCACCTAACTAAATTAACTTAAAACTAAATCTGTATTTATAGTATCAATTTTTAAATGCTTTGAAGCCACAAGTATTGATAAACATCAGAAAACTAGTTATATTCCAAGGAACCCAAACAATTTTTTCACAAAATTTTATTCAAACAAAAAATACAAGTGATGTAAAAATACTGGTTTTGCATGAAACTACCAGTAACAAAATTGCTTTATTTCAACTTAACACATCATCAGTTATTAGGTTGTTTATCCAAGATTGCCTTGACCTACTACTCTTGCACAGAACTGTACTATGTTTCTCTTTTATAAAGTGCACAATTTAGGAATTCCGCCCATAGGAACAAAAGGTGTGCAAATATAAACTACTTAGTATTTTTTATCTTTCCCCATAAATTTGCCTATTTTAGAAACTTTTTAAACAAGTAGCTACCAGGAAGGGAAAAAAAATTATTCTGTGTTAAGTCTCCCTCTGAATATAGATAACAATAGTAAGCAGTGTTACTTTAAAATCTCTACTTCGCTAGTGTTTGGGTTGTCGTTTTGAAAAATGGACTGGTTCTATAAAAACATCAAGTGCAGTTCTACAAAGAGGTCAAGGTCTTAGCAATACTCTGCTTCTATAAATCAAGAGACAGATGTTGTATATTCATTTGCCCATAGACCGTTGTTTATTTTCACTGGTAAAGAAAAGGAAGGGAACCATTGATCCTCTACCCACAGGTGATTACTGAAACTTTAGAAAGTGAGTTGAAACAACTCTGAG